CACTCCTTCCCTTTATCTACTCCTGATATATATACATCCTTGCAGTATGACGTCATCATCGGCAACATCACAGCATGGGGGGTAATAAGAAATATACGGCTGCTGCTTTTCCACAGAACGTCTAGTGGCAGTTCTCAGTCTAAACAACCATCAATCACTGAGGCCTGCGGGGTCCTAAGATGGCTACGATAATTACACTGGGACGTCACGATTCGCGTTAGACTGGTACGGACGTTAATTTGGCCAAGTCTCTTTCGCTACACTAAACTTATAGTTAGTGCAGCGTGTCGAACTCTCCACCGAGGGGGAGTCTAAGCCGAATCGCCGTTCCTTGTGTGGAAAATTCTCTGGAAAATCCCTCGAAGAGAGCCTCGTCGCGCCATCTATGGGACGCCATATGTACGAGAATAACTTCAGGGCGTTAAATTCAATAAATTGAAAATCGCTTTTCTAGAGGAAAACGTAAAGCGCCGACCAAAAAACTTGCAATTACGAGCACTCGGATTTATTCTTGCCCTAAGTGCAGAGTCGAAAGGCTTCTGCAATCGCCAAAACACCTCAATTGACCGATTATCCGGCTTTCTGTAGTACCCAGAGGGCTTCGAGTAGTTAGTTCTACATAGAGGGCAGCGAATTGGATCAAAAGGCGCCACGAGGCAGCGCTGTTCGCGCTTCGCGCGTATATCCGGGCTGCAGATCGTCTAGGTCACGCCGCGTGTCTAAACTCTGTCACTTGTGACAATGGTGGTCATCAAACATAGCACATTGATAGCGATACTAAATTACTCGCACAGGTACAAAGCATCAAGGCAGCACGTGCTCACAAATGACCGACCGCACGTGACTCGTGCCAATGAAAGCTACAAAGTAACCATGGTTACGGACTCACCAGTGGGGCTGCAGAGACGACAACGATCTCTGCTGTCTCCGACTTGGTAAACAAGAACGATATGACGTAGGCAAACAGGATGCAGGCCAGCATGCAGATGGTGAACAGCAGCAGCAGACTCATGATGGCACCACCGGAGCTAAACACTGACACCTGGAATGCCAGCACCTGCATGCGCAAACAAGGGGATTAGTAATCAATGATACAGCCTTGGGTTACTCGGCTCGTCTTGACCGCTCCCACACCTCCTATGTTTGCACTGTCTAAGACCAAATTAGGAAATTACAGTTATAATTCCATATCGGCAGAGCTGTATACACACTGAAGCTATATATATTGTAGCAACGCCAATATCATTCTGCGAACGCATTTAATACCAACATCCACCCAGCATAATCTTAGACCACACCAGCTGGCTAGAAGACTGATTTATCTGCCGGACACACAAACACATGTTAAAATTAGTTCCACACTAAATAGATACCCACGTAGATATGCGTAGCTCTGTTACAACCTACACACAGTAGCGTCATCACTGTCCATCGTACGGGTTAGCTTTCGACAAATAATATCTCAGATACACACGTTGGCCGCATCACTGCCCACAGTACGGGTCAACTTTCACCGAATAACAGCTTAGATACACACCTTAGCCGCATCAATATATTAGTTCGGGGCAGCGGTCGGCGAAGAACATACACACCCCCTAGCATAACGTTGTTTTTACACAGCTGCTAAACAGCTGTTCCACACTGAAGAGACACACAATTAGCCGAATAAAGTTATTTTTACACGGCGACTAAATGTTTAATTACGCTAAACGATCAACCAGTATACGTCATACGTCATGCCACCTACGTTGGGCACCCACGTGGCCGAGGGGGAAGGGGCGTAAACACATCCCCACTCATTACTCACCATTGGCCGTCCACTCTATCCCACACACTGACCATAGACAATAATTCTAACCCTCTACCGTCCCTGTAGTCAGCAATGATTGGGAGAAACATATTTGGTAAGAGATTCACGGCTCATTTTACAAAGGGAGGTATAAGAGAGCTCGCGCGGAAGAGACGAGGCTCTCGTGTACTCATCCCTCTGCTACTTTATTGTATGTGATTTGTGAAACCCGTATTCTACCCTGTGTGACTTGTACGACTTTTGTAAGTATAAAATATAGTGAAACCTCAGTTTGTAAACTACATCCTCTACTCTCATTTTATTATCGTATTCGTAAGTTTAGTCACGCAATTACACGCCGCATATAGCACGCAAGCGACAGCGCACAGTCGCCTGGCAGCAGAAAGAGATCCAGCGACTACACTATATGTATGTATATGTATATATATATATATATATATATATATATATATATATATACTAGTGGGGAATGTGACTTACTATAGATGTGACATGCTCTGCACCAATTACAACGTGGAATGTTTTGCAGCCGTATTAGAAGTTAAATGCTTGAATTCGAGGTTCACAAACTAACATGCTATATTTCGTGAATATGCAAAATATTACAATGAACTATTAGGAATGAAGTGCATATGATGACGACGTAAAACATTGCAACAATAAAAAAATACCCCAATGGCGGAAGGTTACAGGAAAGAGACAGTGGTGGAGAGGTGATGTTTAGAGTGGCCATGGAGGGGTGATGCAAAGAGAATTCAAAATTGAGTGTCACGGCAGGCAATCTAAAACACAGATTTTTCGTGAATACTCGAGTTCCACATTCGGTTGATGATGCGAACATCTATGTACGTACCACGATGATACAGAGGATGACAGGTATTAAGCACTGCATCACATGCATGGCAAAGAAGCTTGCCCAGTAGACGGCAAAGCTTGTACCGGATATACGCAGCTGACTGGAGCATCGCAACTGAAACAACAGTCAGAGCATTAAGACGCTCCACAGGGTTAACCAGCACACTTGCACTACAATCGTAAACTTATCTCTATAGGTGGTGCAGTTAGGTAAGTACAACACAAGTATAATATAGTATATATACCGTACTGTATATATAT